CTTCTTCTTTTTTTTTTTTGGTACTGGGGATTGAACTCAGCACCTTGTGCTTTCCAGGCAGGCAATTAAGCCACTGAGCTATCTCTTTGGTTTCCAAAGCCATGTTAAAATGTAGCTAGTCAAATATGTAAAACGCCTTACAGGAAGATGGTGAACAGCAGAGAAACAGCCTCTCTGGAATTCAGTGTTCAGGCACAGGAATATAGCAACATGGGGAAGAGGAGAAGGAAGTTGGTCCCCAGGACCCAGCAAGAATCTGAAGTGAGAACTGAAGCCGACAGGGAGAGCGGAGAGAGAGACATCGGTGAAGGATACTTTCCCCCAGTCCTGACTCACCACAGAGGAGGGGCAGGTTGAGCCTGAGGCCTCCGGAGGCCTCCAAGGAGAAATGCACCAGTGGAGTGCAGCAGTGGACACAGCAGTCCCCAGTGGGGGAGTTGTCCGGGTTCAGATGTCCCCCAGAGGAGGGTGTTTGACCCAGAACCATGCTGGACAGGGGCTGGCTGAGCTTGAAATCCACTGGAGCTGCAGTTGGTTCCATCCAGCGGCTCCCAGTAGCAGGGTCAGGTGAAGCGGAGCTTAAACCGGCAGGAGGCACATGGAGTATTGCAGACAGAACCAGACTCGAGCTTCACAATCAGAATCCAGCCTGAACTGTAGTGGAACTAAGAGTGCAGGCTTTCCAGGATCCCCCCATCCTGGCACAGGCCTAACGCTGGCTCACTGGGGCTAATCAACACGGCTCTGCGCTCTGCATGCCACCCTGTCTGCCAGTGACACAGAGACACACCTTAAAGTGAACTTTTTTTTTCTTTTCTTGTTTTTGTTTGTTCTTATTTTCATATGACTAAGAACATTTTTCCAGTTTTTGGTTATTGTTGTTTTATTCTTTTTTTGATGTATTTAGTACAGGGTCTACAGGGTCTCACTACACAGATCAGACTTGTAGTGATCCTCCTGTTTTCAGCCTCTCAAGCACTGGGCTTACAGGCACGCGCTGCCAGGCAGTCTTAGTCACTGTCACAGTGCACTCTGGGGGCGGGGCTGGCAGGCATGCTGGGGATAGAACTCCAGTCCCGGAGTCTGACGAAG